GGAAGCATAGTCCTCTCCAAGATACCCAATGATATTTAGGCCTTCCCTCTTTGTATCCCCATAGAAAGTTCTGCATCTTCTTGTTCAACATGTTGTGAATAGATTTGGGCATTTGCTGGACAGCAACAATGTGTAAAGGTATAGAACTGAGGACATGCTTAATGAGAATCAAACGCCCCATTTGGTTTAGCACCTTGCTATACCAAGTGTTAAGATAGGCATCAAAATGTTGGACAATTTTCTTGCAATCTTCCTTCCTTAGTTTACCTTTTCCAATGGTTGCCCCTAAGTAATTTAGAGGTAATTTGCCCTCTCCCACGTGAAGAAGTAGTAGCAACAACTCTATGTCACGGAAATTGAGTGCTCCGCTACGTAGAATAAGATTCTTAGTTCCTTGATTCCATTTTTCATTTCTGTAGTTGAGTTGTATAACTCATGTTGGAAATATTTTTTGAAAAACACAATTTGTTTTTGGTAGTTTGTTTTAGCTAGCCGTTTTGTTAACATATAGTTGTAGCATCCTGTTGGTCATCACAACCAGGAAGGTGTTTCTATTTTAGTAGAAAACATTTTAATGCATGCTCTTCCAAGAGACATGGTGCATGCTACTATTTCTTTTCTACAGCCTTTGAAACTTTCTCCTAAAGAGCCCTACATTATTGAGATACACGTGAAGCTATATTCGAATTATTCTTCTGGGAAACAAAGCATACTTGACACCAAGAAGAAGACTCCAGTTATGACTCTACTAGGGGTTTTCCGCTCTAGTATTTATATTGAAGTACTGTCTCGTATGAAGGGGTTGACGAAAGATTGGTCGACAACTAAGGAAAAGAGAGTATTCTTCGAAATACGCGGGCGGCCATATATCACGCCACACTATTCATATCAGAGCGTGGTGATATTCGAAGAAGGATGGAAACTTGTAATCCTCGTTATGAAGTATGAGTCCACAATCACATCCAAAAGTTAAGAATGGTGATGATATGGAAACAGGCCGACAACATGTTCTTGATATAGAACATGAAGAAGGTGTAACACGTTAATGAGAAAGACTCAAATAGAGTTTGTAGTCAGTAATCACTTGTAAGTCTTTAATAAATACATTAAGAAGGTACTCTTGTGTAGTTGATTATAAGCGCTACGCTGCTTTAGTGGAGGACTATTACACAGATAATGGCCTCGTAGATGTTGGAGAGTCAGCTCTAAACTACGTAAACAATTCTTGTGCAGTACTTACTTCTTTTACTTTATATTCTATCTGTTTACATGAGATAAAGAAGATGTTTTAGCCCTTGGTTAGTCATTAGTTTCCGTGACTGTGCTAAAAGATATCCTGCAATAGTTTGTTTGTTCTACTTATCGGTACTTGGGTATTTCTGCTGCCCCCTACAACCTTTCAATTGGGATTAGAGAAGTTGGGCTTATCTTACTAGCAATTTTGATCTTAACCATGGGTGACATGGAAGAAGGGGCCAATGTACAACGACCACCACTTCTACATGGGCACAATTATAAGTTCTGGAAAGAACGAATGAGGGCGTTTCTGATATCTCAAGGAGGTGGAGTCTGGCGCAGCGTGGAAACTGGGTGGAAAGAACTGTTGAAGTTCTCAGAAGATTAACATCCACTATTAAACCTTTTGAAGAATAGAGCAGAGTCAAAGTTGTTGTAATTGAGTTTAATGATAAGGCATTAAATTCTATATTTGGTATAGCCGATGCAATAAAGTACATGCTTATCTCAAACTGTACATGTGCTATGGAATCATAGCTGCATAGGACATTCTTGAAATTATGAAGGGGATGAGTGAGCTAGAAACACTTTTGTTGGTTTGTGGGGTTAGTTTGTAATCCAATGAATAGACACTTTTGGTCAGGATTAGAGCCGGGGTCTTATACAAACGTTTTCCCTTTGGTCTCAAGAATGAAGGGGTCACCTATCATTTCATGGTGAGCAAACTCTTCACCTTGGTCTTCAAAAAGAGGATGGACGTGTATTTGGATGACATGATAGTGAAGAAAAAACAAGAGTTTTCATATGCAAAGGACCTGGATGGAGTCTTCTTCATGACGTAGGAGTAAAATCTCAACTTAACTTAAATAAGTTCACATTTGGCGTTCGAAGTGGGAAGTTCCTTGGCATTTGTTGAGTTAAAGCAAGACTGATCCAACTTGAAGAACATTCATTCGATGTTTGACATAAAGAAACCTTGTAATGTTAAGGAGGTGCAATAAATGATCAGTAAGTTGGCCGCTTTGAACCACTTCTTGTCAAAACTAACAGATTAGGCGTACCATTCTTCTAAGTGGTTAAGAAAGACAACAGGTTTTGTATGGACCAAAGGGTTCAAGAGGTCCTTTGAAACTCTCAATGCAAATTTTATCTTTCGACCATTGCATTCACCACCAAAGCCTAGGGAGAGGCTCTATACATACTTGGGGTTCAGACCTCAAGTTGTCTCCCTAGTCTTAGTACGTGAAGATGGAGAGACTCAGCACCTGGTCTACTACATGGTGATGACCCGCTGTGAACATGAGGTAGCTAGTGGTGGAAAAGACTATCATTGTCATGAATTGGATGGCGTAAAATCTCACTTCTCGTTTTGAAGCGCATTGGGTGCACATCCTATCATAGTAGCCCGTAGGAGCAATCTTACACATCTTTAATGCAATACCAAGGATGTCCAAGTGTGTGGTATTCTTTAGAACCTTTTAAATCAAGTTTACTATGAGGCTCTTGATCAAGGGACAAATGCTAGCCAAAATTTGTCATTGAATGCATGAGGAGAAAAGAATCGACTGCTGAACCGATGTGTGGCACAACCAATGAGTTGTAGATAATCTTTATTGACCGCTCCTCCACCGTTAAAAAACAATGAGAGGAGTGGTGCTCATCACCTTAGAAGAATTTCGGGCACACTACTTTGTAAAGTTCAACATCAAAGTCTCCAACAATTAGTCAAATTATAAGGTGTTGTTTTATCTTCTTTGACTAGCAGCAAGCTTGTATGAAGAAAAATATTAAAGCTCCTAGCTACATCTTATAGAGTAGGAGATTCTACAATCACACCAACAATGGGACCCTGCTTTAGTGCTTTGCTCAGATGAAGCAAGGTAAGTCATGGAGTAAGTTTAATTAGAAATATGATCGACTCACCTATGAGCCCATACTATTTCAGGAAAGTTAAAACTACAATGCTACTTATAGTAAACATCCGTGAAGGATAGTGCAAACTTTATAAAGATATGCAGAGTTTGCAAGGAGGTTTAGAATGTACCTAGTCATCTGCCGACGAACTACTTTCCTATCAACACAAGAATTGTTTTTTCAAAGTAGGGGTATTGACTTGACCAGTGTTCTCCCTAGGGGTGTTAGAAACACGAGGTGGGCGATCGTATCCATTGACTACATTACTAAGTGGGTGGAGTTGGGTATGTGCAGAAAGCATATGCAGACATATCATATTTTCACTTGTAACATGCTTCAGTTCATGAAAAAAGCTTTGCTCTGTATATGCCTTTAGAGTATGGAGTTTATGATTTTCTTGGGGTATTTAAGGAAACTGAATCCACAAAAATATATACATAAAAGGGCATGCAGAAGAGGTTTACACTAAAGTTCCACAAACTCATACAAAACTTCGATATCTAAGCATGCTTTGGATAGAAAGAAATACATAAGAATGTATGTGATGTCCATCAGAAAATTTAATTTATATTTTTGTGTTGCAGTTTGGACCTCTAGTGGTGCATTCCAGTTTATAGTAGCTGCAACATTCAATAGCAGAAATATACTCTAACTATTTTTTTGAATTTTTATATTAACACAAATACACAATACTATTTAGCATGATGAGTTACTCCATTGATTTCTAAATGCTGCTATTAACTTTATGTGTTTCAAATGGAGCACTAGTGCTTAACTTGAAATTGGTACAGAAATTTTAGTGTATTGCAGTGTGGACCTTCAGTTATGCATCCTAGTTTATATAAGCTGCAACGTTCCGCAACAAATATATAATTTATCTTCCTGTTTTAACGTCAATATGAAGTGTCTTTTTTTGAATCATAGTAGGTATACATTTTTGTTTGTGTAGTGCATAATGTTATTTTTGCATATCTTAGAAATATATTTTACTAAAAAAAGGTTTAACATCAATATGAAGCGTCATTTTTTGAATCATAGTAGGAATACATTTTTGTTTGTGTAGTGTATAATGTTATTTTTACATATCTTAAAATTTTATTTTACTCGAAAAGGTTCAACTGACCTTTCTTAACGTTGGTCTATTATGATATGTAGTGACCAACTTTGAATCAAGACAGGAAAGGGAGATGGGCTATAAAAGAGGAGGCAGTGGACATCCCAAGAACCATTTTTGTGTTCCTTAAACAAATTAACTTTTTTTAAGGGATATTGCAGTTTAGTATAGTTGTTAGTGCACAAATTTGCAGTAGATATACATATGCACTGTTGAATTTGTTTGTTCACAATTTTCTCTGAAAGTGATAAATTGGATAAAGAATGCTTACATAGTACATAGATGGCACATTATGATCTTATAAAAATTATGTAATTATGCTTCTGTGGTGCATTTGAGGGGAAAGAGTATGACTAATGGATAATATATATGTTAAATATGAGTAAAATTATAATGTGTAAGAATTTTTTTCTTTAGTCATGATGCTAATGTTATTCTTTGGTTTAACAATAATTTTCAAGTATATTAAATTAAAAATAATTTCAGTCAAACATATTAAACAACAGTTGTTAGCTTAAATTCAGACAGAGAGAGTTTTATTTTCATCCTAGATAATCAATGGTAGTAGTTTCCTCATGTCCTTGCAAATTATAGACAAATTATACTCTGTACGTGAACAATGCAAAACTGAACATTTTTGGTGCATTATAATCATTCCAAGTTGCACAACAAGTGAACTTAGAGGACATGTAGTCATTATATACTCTTCCATCCCATAATGGATTACATAGTTATTATCACATTCTCTCGAAAAATTTTGTTTATTCGCTTGTTCTCATTGTTCATTGATAAAAGAAAAAATGTCACATCTTGTTTTGTAAAACTTGTAACAAGTGTAGGAGTGCGGTAATACAATATTCATGTCTGAATTTATTGTTATAAGAGTCTAACCAATAAATCGAGGCTATGTGTCTGTAACGGTGCATTTTTAGAATCAAGACAATGCATTATCAGATAATGGTTATTCATCTTAAGATTAGAGTGCGTATTTCAACCATTGAATTCCTTATAACACAAATTTTGTTATTCAAAATGCATTCATAGATTTAGGTATAGCACACAAGGGCGGTTAGACGACATAAGTTAAAACCCACAAATTGATCAACTACCTGAAACACTCCTTTTAAAAAAATTGCCCCTAATTAGTTTGAGAACAAAATGGCAAAGGAGATTGCATCTGTCAAACATCGCAATACATTCAATCTCACAACATAAAATTAGGTTAAATACAGTGCATTCTCAGCTTTTCTCATCGCATACAAAGTCTCTCTGAAGTCATAATTTACTAATAAACAAATTAAAGAATATAATTACAATAAAAAAGACCAGCATATCTTGATTTTAAACAAATAAAAGAATATAATTACACAAGATTTGAATCATTTTTACATCCTAAAATATACATATATTAATTTATTTATTTAGTTAGAGAAAAAGATGAGCCTTGATAAATTTTAATTTTTTTACTTTGAAATGTGAGAAGATAATATCAAAAATTTACGTTCGATATTGGTGTTTTGGCAAGATTTCGACAAGAGATTTCTAAAGGTATATTTATTTATTGGGGAATTTACTTAAATAGTACTAAAACATAATGACTTTCCCTAAATAGCATCACATGTGTTTTTCTTCGCACTTTTAGTCATTATGAATTAGTCATTATTCAAATAATATTCACTATCACTAGATATTATGGATATTATTAAATGTTATTTAGAAAATAAAATAATTTAAATGCTATTTAGGAAAATGACTTAATTTTTTAGTGCTTATTTATTATCTTAACTTAAAGCATACGGAGTACGTAGTATTGTGCTCAATACATGGGTGTGATGTGGTAATGGAAACACAATTTAATACGCAAGATTGTGCTAAAATCGTGGATGATGTGGCAAGTGTTTTCCCTAATATGCCCTTTTCCATTAGGTTTACGTTAAAATTGGCCTGCCACATTAATGGTAGTCAATCTCAATTACTTTTTCTTGCATTGGGAGCTGTTAGATTTACAAGATCAATGCCTATTGTCTATTCTTATTTCTTTCATTGTGAACCGCACCCTATATATATATATATATATATATATATATATATATATATACACATGATATTTATTTTTTATTTTTTACTTTCATTTATTCATAAGAAATTATTAATATACAACTTTTTAATGATTTTTACTTTTTATTTTTTCATTTCATTTTTTTGAAATTTTTAATTTTTAATTTTTATTTTTTTTAGTTTTATTTTTTTCAACTTTTATATTTATTTTTATTTTTACATATACTATAAAGCATCTTTCAAGAAAAATGATTTTTAAAAAATTAATTTTCCTAACAGCCAAGTCCAAATGCTACTCCCATTGTCATTTCAGATTTTGGCTTTTTTGAATCAAAATGCTAAGTAAAAAAGTCATTGGCCAAATAATGGTTTTGGCTGTTCGCTTAGTCAAAAAAACCAAAGTCAATCAAAGATGCTAAAAGCTATCCGAAAAGCTGTTTTCCAAACACAGCCTAAATGCAATGTTGGAATATTATTATTAATCATAAATAATGAAATATTTGGTACAATGCAATAGACATCGAGGTAGAAAGATATACTCCTTCCGTTCCACAAAACCCTATCTCTTTCGTTTTTTTTTTGCTTTCCACAAAACACTTCCACTTTCTATTAAAAAACCACTTTTACCCCTACTTTTTCATACCTACCTATCACATCAAACTTTATCACTAATAACCAAACTATCACATCTTACTTTTTCTCATCACATCAGGGGCAAAATAGGAAAGTCAACCAAAATTACAATTTCCTTATTTGTCCCCAAAGTCAAAACCGGAAGGATTTTGTGGAACGGAGGGGAGTAGTAATTGCAAGTACTTAAAACAAAATATTAATTATATTCTATTAAACATTCTTTTCAAGCTTAGTCTGGTGGCAAGATAAATACTTGGACCATGCTACATTTACACAAAAAATTGTACCTCATTTGTACACCGCAGTTATACACAAATATTTTGATGGTTTACACCGACATAAATGTTGGTGCGTTAACAAAAATTTACACGAACACAAAGTGTTGGTGCATTAACAAAAATTAGTTTTACACCAACACAAAATGTTGGTGCAAAACTACGGGATACAAATTAAGGTACAAAATGTTGGGGTACAAGTAGCTTTATGCTAAATATTTAGGTATAATAGACTAAATTTTTTGGAACGTTAGAGCCCACCCCTTGTTCTTTTTTCTTCTCCTCCTCCAATATCTTAGATTTTTAACATAGATTTGATTCCCTATTACTTTGATTTCCTATATTTGAAACATAACCAAAATTTGATTTTTAATTTCCTTCAATTTCCTAAATTTAAAAACTAGATTTAATTTTTAATTTACTTATCAATTTCTTAATTTTGAAACCAAGATTGTGTTTTCTTTAATCCTTAATTAGATATTTTAATGAGGTACTTCAAAAAAAAAGATATTTTAATGAGGTTGAAGAGAACGGAGAAGGGAGGATGGGAATGGGAGTTCATATGGGAAAAAGAGAAGGTGAAGAGCAAAACTGGAAAGCCAAACTATTTTTTACTCAACATTAAATGAATTTTCAACTCAAAATGAAAAATTTTAAGAGTCCAACCTTAATTTGAACGGAGGATTATAATTTGGAAATATAATTTTGAAAAAGATATACAATTTTAATATTACTCATTTCATCTCAAAATTATGACATCACTTCGAATAACGTGCAAAATTTCATCTTTTTTGAAACAATTTTGTTTACAGATTAGTATAGAAATAAAGTGTACAAAATACATATTTAAAAAGTACATTTAAAATTTTATAAAACAAGCAGTGGTAAATATATTTTATTTTATCAAATGATAAATGAATATATATAAACAAACAAAAGTTATCGAGGAATCAGAATAGTAACTATGACTCCCTCCGTCCCGTTTTAAATCGTCTGTTTTGACTTTTGGGCATATTTAAGGAAGAGAAAAAGTAGAGTTGATTTTTCAAAATTGGCATTACTTTTTAGGAGAGGTGACGATGGATGAAAAGATAAGGTAGAGAAGAGTGACTTATTTTAGGGGTAGTTTAGGTATTTTACTCTTAAAAGTTACGATAATAAGTAACTGACAATTTATTTTGGGACGGAGAAAAAAGGCAAACAGACAATTTAAAATGAGACAGAGGGAGTACAATTATTTTGGGACGGAGAGTATATAATTTTGAAAAAAATAAAATTTGGAAATTCCATATTTTATAAAATTTATTGTTAGAAAATATGAATAAAGAAAATAGAAGTCACTATAAATAAGACTAAAACATATAGAAAAGAACCAAAATAGGACTTTCATATTTTTATTCCCGAAATAGGACTTTGCACTGTAGTAATGTGACATTGTACATGTTCACTTTACTATACTTTTTGGTAATGTACATGACCATGTTTGGTAATGTAAATGCATTTTAACTCCTATTTTGGGAATAACAAACATAGAAGTCTTATTCTCGTATATTTTCAATGTTTTACTCCTACTTTAGTCTTTTTCACTAAAAAAAAGCACTTCAATCTAATACTCCCTCCGTCCTATAATGATCTTCCCGGTTCGCAAAATAAAGAAAAATCCCAAATTTTTTCAATCTATTTTATTTAAATATTGGTATAAAAATAAAAAATAAAACATACATATTTAAAAACTACACCAAAAATTCAACAAAACAAGTGGTGACAAGAATATTTTATTTTATCATATAGGCCATGAAAAAACACAAATAAATATAAATACCCGTGAAGTTGGAATAATGCTCTGGGAAGATCATTATAGGACGGAGGGAGTATTTTAATTGGATACAACTCAAAGAGAATTGAATAACAAAATATAGAAATTCTTGTTTGATGCATCTTTACAAAGTTCAAGTCCATTCATACCAATTTGTTAAAGATGCGGTCTGCAAGGGTATCACTCGTTAGACCATGCTTCCAGGGGCACTGCCTCCAGACCCACGCCCCCTTGAAACTTTTATTAGGGGTGGGCACGGATTAGGACGGTTTGGATTTTAGGTTGTCCTACGTCTTGTCCCGTTATATATAAACGGTCCGAAACGGTCCGGATTACAATCTTATCCCAGTTTGTCCCATAAAATTCGAAATTGAAATAAACCGGGATGGATTCGGATCGTCCTACTTTGTCCTAATCGCAAATATAAGAAGGGGGAGAGGGTGACATTTCGTTCAAAAAAAGAAACATCTAGCCATCTAACAAAAAACAATGAGTTGAACGGGTCCAAATAAATTTCAAGCCTATGAAGTTAACTTAATTAAATAACTAATTAATTAAAGAAGGAAAATGCTAGGGTGCCACCACATGGGTGCTACTATGGGTGCAACCATGCTTCGCACAGACAAACACAGACGATAATTGTCTGTGTCGCACAGACAATTATCGTCTGTGTTTGTCTGTGCGAAGCATGGGTGCACCCAGTGGCGGAGCCAGGAAATTCTTAGAGTGGGGGCGAAAAAAGAAATAAAATAAAACTAAATAAAACGATAAATATTTTTAATATTAAAGTTCATAACATAACAAATCATATTACCTCAAGTCTACAAAATCATTCTTCTAGCCTTCATTGCTTGAAAATATTGTAGGATGTCTTCATCTTCCACACAATCAAAAGTTTGATACTCTATATAAGTTATCATACAAGCATTAAACCACTCATTACCAATTCTGTTGCGTAACTTATCTTTGACCAAGTTCATTGCTGAAAATGCACGTTCCACACTTGCTATTGCAACCGGTAAAAGTAAAGCTAACTTCACCAACAAATACACCATCGGATAAACAATGTCTTTCTTCTTCTCAACCATTTTTCGAGCAAGTTCTCCTATTTCTTTCAAATTAGCAAATCCTTCATCATCTTTTACATCAAGAATAAAAGTCTCCAAGGAAGAGGAAAGGAAAGAAAGATCACAAGACTCATCAAAATCCATTGGATAATATGTAGCAAATTCAACCAACTTTTTTGTGTCAAATTTGTAGAATGAATCTTGGGGATCAAGACAACTCAAACACTCGATCAAATTTGTGTTCACGTTGTCAAAACGATCATTCATCTCAAAAAGTTGATGGTCGATCACTTTATCAAAGTACATGAACTTGAAGAACTCCCAAAACTTGAGTGTTGATGCATTTCTCCTTGATCTTCCCTTGGGACAATAGAAATCACCCATGTTTGGAATATCAACATCATGTTTCTTGCAAAACTCAGTTGTTAAATCAAGCAACACATCAAATTTAACACTTTTCAAATTCTGCAATCGAACTTTTGCAACTCTCACTAAAGCAATAGCATTGGCTAGGTCTTGATCCTTTCGTTGCAAGGATTGTGATAGTTCGTAAGTAATGCTTAAGACCATCTCCATCAAATGCAAAATGAATACAAATTCAAAATCTTCCATAGCAAACAAAATAGCACTTGCCTCCGTCCTTACCGAATCATTCTTAGGATCATTTTGAATTATATTCACCAATGAAACAATAGGAGAGAACAATGAAATTACACTCACAATTGTTGAGTAATGAGACCCCCATCGTGTATCCCCGGGCCTTCTCAAACTTGATTCTTGATTAGAACCTCTTCCATGCACTTCACCACATGCAATTCTTTCAAGAATCATTTCATATTGCTTTTCACGAAAAATATCTCGTCGCTTACATGAACCATTAACAACATTGGCCATCTTTTGAAGAATATCAAAAAATTCTTGAATCTTTCTATCACTCTTAGCTGCCTTTACAAGTGCTAATTGTAGTTGATGAGCAAAACAATGGATGTAATAAGCAGATTTATTTTCAGCTAAAATCAAACTTTTTAAACCATTGAACTCACCTCTCATGTTACTGGCGCCATCATAACCTTGACCACGACACTTAGATAAACTAAGTCCCATTTTTGCAAGAAGCCCATCAATTGCTAATTTTAATGACTTCGAAGAAGTATCTGAGACATGAACAATGCCTACAAAACGTTCAAGAAGCAACCCTTGTTTGTTCACATAACGTAAAACCACAGCCATTTGCTCTTTAATTGATACATCACGAGCTTCATCAACAAGTAAAGAATAATAATCATCTCCAATTTCTTTGACTATGCTCTGTAATGTTAAATCTGCACAAGAAATAGCAAGATCTTTTTGGATCATCGGTGATGTCATTTTGTTATTCTCAGGAGCATTATTCAAAACCACTTTCCACACATCTTCATTTGGCCGAGCATAAAAATTCAATTGCTCAAGAAACAATCCTTTTCTACTTGAACTTTCATATTCATCATGACCACGAAAAGGAAGACCATTTCTTAAAAGAAATCTAACACAATTCAAAGATGATTGTAACCGAACACGATAATCTTTTTTTGCTTGGTCGGTAACACACATAAGAGCAACATCAATATGTCGTTTCCCATTCATCAAATCTTGCCCTACTTGGAAACATTTATTGTGAATACTATCATGTTCTCCCATGTGAGTTCTTAACCTACTTGGCTTATTCCAACACTTAAACCCCGTACTAACAAATGCATCATGTCCATGGCTAGTACTACCAAACTCTATATTGAAAAGGTAACAATATAGACAATATGCATCTTTTGATTCACTATACTCAAGCCAAGCCCCAAATTCTTCATACCATTTTGAATTGAATCTACGATTGTAACCATAAATAAGGGTTTGAGGAAATTCACGAAGCTTAGGTTGTGTTGGACCTTTTAATAAATACCTTCGACGAATATTTTCTCTCTCAATCGGATTCTTTGTCATCAAATGGATTGGAATCCTTTTTCCTGGATCCGATTCAAAATTTGTTATGTCAACTTCATTTTGATTTTCATGAATCGGAGATTGCCCTTGAGGTTTATCAAGTACACTTGCTCCTTGAGAATCTTGAGGCGGAGATTGTGGTTGAACTTCAACATCAATAACATTTTCTTCCGGAGGTGTAGGCTTTAGCCTTTTGAAATATGATTTTAAACCTAATAGAATACAAAGTAATAAAAGGTTAATCCCATAACTTGAAATTTAATAATACTCATTAAATCTAAATAAGTCACAAGTATAGTGTGAATGTTACCTTTCATTTCCTGTTTGTGAAGTAGGCAGTTTCAACCTTGATATTTTCACCTGTAAAATTTGTCAATAAAAATATTTGTCAATTAAAATTTGGCAATTTCAACCCTCAAAATTTCATTTTTTGTTCTCTAACCTAGCTTTTTTTGTACCAGTGCCTAAAATGAGGACAAAAAAAATTCATCAAAAACTATTTTTGTTTTACCAATAGTGCTACTGTACGAGTGCCTAATATGAGAAAACAAAAAAAAACTTTTCAATGAAGAAGATGAAAATCAACAGACTTCAGACTTGAGGAAAATAAGATTAATTTGCTAATTTGAAGAAAATCACAATAAAAAAATAGGTTAAATGGTAATAAATTGCTGATTTAATAAATTGAGACTAAGTTACCAGATCGGAGCCTGTTTCTGAACGATTGTACTTCGTCGGAACTCGGAATCGTCGACCTTGGTTGCCGCACTTCGTCACCAGCCGGTTCCCGTAAACAAATTTACCGCTGGTCTCCGTCTCTGCACTATGCACAATTAGAAGAAAGATTTGAAGAATTGAAGATTGAATTGGAAATTGGGAATAGATTGGAGAAGTGAGTGGATGTAATTGGGTGGGAATGTGGGATTTGGCATTTGGGGATGAGATGGGAATTGACGGGTGGAAATTGGAAAAGAGGATTGAAAGTGAACAGCAAAGTAGGCGACAGAGGCACAGCCGCACAGAGCAGATTTTCTTTCTTTTTTTTGGTAAAACGCCAAAACGACGTCGTTTTGGATTTGGGGAAGAAATTTCAGTGACTGCACTTGCAGTCATTTGCTCCTTAGTAGCTCCGCCCCTGGGTGCACCCATGGTAACACCCATGTGGTGGCACCCTAGTATGATCCATTAAAGAATGAGTGTATTTGGATTTTGGACTAGAATTAGTATTTTATATTAGAAGAGTAGATGAAACGGGACAAACGGGACGGATCGATATAAATTTAAGTTGTCCCGCTCATGTCCCATTTGATATTGGGACGGAACGGGTTCGGGATATAAAAAATGTGTCCCAATATATCGGTACAATTACAAAACGGATCTGGGATTTTTTGGAACGGTCCAACAGGAACGGATTTCACGCCCACCCCTAACTTTTATTAAATAATTTGGGGTAACACAAGGGTATTATCATAACAAATTCAACGAAGTGTACACTCCGCACCATCAGACTACTTTGTTGATTATTATGATTGCATTGGTGAAATAGTCGCTCCAACTTCACTTAAAATATACTATCTTCATCCGCTATAGATCTTTTCAAATGTCATTTTTGCTTGTCCGTGGAATATCTTCAATTTTCATTACTTTTTTTATCATTTAAAATACCTTAAATACCCTCAATTACTTTATTTATTACACTTTACCACTTTATTTTATACTTCACCTTAGTTATTATTATATTGCACATCATGGAAAATCTTATTTCGTTTTTTTAAAGGGGGAAAGTATTATTTAAAAATATGGTAGCAAGTCATTTTGAGTTCTAGTTGGTGACCTAATATTGTGATTCCATTGTCAAACTTGTCATCAAAGCTTTCTCCCCAACAAACGCGCACTACAAATTAATAGTCTACGAATCCCAAATTCGCCATTAATCTAAACGGTCAAAGCCCTTTTTTGTCAATTCAACTAGCAATTCGTCCATTGAATCTTTCATCATTTCTTCACTTGTGAATTCCAATTCTCCCTCTCTCTCCGACTCTCCCCCAATTCCAATTCGGGGGTTGGAGAGGGAAACTAGGAGTTTGTTGTGATGGCTCCGGCGATGAGGGACGTGCAGCTGACGACGGCGAACAGGAACTCGTCGGAGGCTGCCGGAGAAGATGAGTTGGAGGAGGTTAGGCTGTTGGATTCCTATGAGGAGGAGAGCTCCGGCGAGGGTTTGAGGAGAATTCAGGTTAGAGTCACGGGGATGACATGCGCGGCCTGTTCCACATCCGTTGAAGCAGCTCTCGCGGCCGTACACGGCGTCGTTAAGGCCTCCGTCGCTCTGCTTCAGAACAAAGCGGACGTCGTCTTCGATCCTAACCTGGTCAAGGTCGCCTGCTTTATTCATTTCTCTCACGTTGTTTTAGTTTTTTTTTTCGTTTTCAGTTCATATTGGTGTTTCGCTAGACTTTTAGAAAAAGTTTGATCTAGTTTTAAGGTTTAAACCCTAGCTTAGCTTTCCAGCTACGTGATGTCCATGTGGATTGGGGCCGTTGCGAGCCATGCCATTACTAATTGGCCAATTAATCTTGAGCTAAGTGTGGTTTTAACATGCATTTTGCTTGTATGAGTAATTGATTACTTACTCCACCCACAGATAAGTTACTCCCAATTTATCGAAATTGTACACGTTTTGAATATCAGTAGGGTAACTATGAGAAAGAATCAAATGTAGCTATATATTTTTAAATTTAGTTTTTGCTGCAACTACATTTTAACACACCTAATTTGTTATTTTTGTACTGATCACATATTAAATAATAAGCTTTTTAAAAATACACTATACCAGTCAAATTTAGAGTTCCATATGTTGAAGGCTATGGTGCACAGAAGATTGTTTTTTAACAGACTACAAATTGTACTCCTTTTGTTTCAGGATGAAGACATTGCTAATGCTATAGAAGATGCAGGATTTGAGGCTGAGATTATAACTCAGCCTATGACATCTCAAAAGAATGCACATGGACATGTTTCAGGGCAGTTTACAATAGGTGGCATGACCTGTGCAGCTTGTGTAAATTCTGTTGAAGGTATATTAAGGGATATCCCAGGTGTGAGAAAAGCTGTTGTTGCATTGGCTACCTCATTGGGAGAGGTTGAGTATGATCCTGTCATAGTCAGTAAGGATGACATTATTAATGCAATTGAAGATGCTGGTTTTGAGGCTGCGTTTGTACAGAGCAGCGAACAGGACAAAGTCACACTAGGGGTTGTTGGAGTATCTACTAAGATGGATACACAGTTCTTAGAAACTATTCTTTCCAAGTTGCATGGTGTGAAACACTTTTATTTTGATTACGCATCAAGAGAGCTGGAAGTTGTCTTTGACCCTGAGATTCTTGGTCCAAGATCCTTAGTTGATGGCATTGAGTCGGGGAGTAGTGAAAAGTTTAAGTTTATATGCAAGCACCCCCACACAAGAATGGCTTCCAGAAATATGGAAGAGTCCTCATATATGTTCCAACTTTTCACTGCAAGCTTATTTCTCAGTGTGAGTTCACATTTTCCCACTGTTTCTACTCTTCATTTGATTTAAGAGCTACTCAGTCTCTTCCGAATCCTTGAATCACAAACACGGTTCTCCTTGATACTTATGGATGGCCTGCTAGCTTAAGTTTGCTACCATGTTTTGTTGTATGGTTTTTTTTATTGTACCTATTATTGTTTACCGACTTATGTTGTGCATATTTGTTTTTAAAATCTTATTTTGGGTTCTACGTTGGAACATACTGTATTCTGTACTCTGTAGAATCATCTCCTTCTCTTTCTTTTGTAGCTTGTTCACTTAGAAATGAAAACAAAAGAACTTCACCAAGACCATTTTTTTCTGTGCAATGAAAGAAATGATGTGCAGTATATTTTTCTTGATCATTGACTGTGGAGTGTGGACTCCATCTTCTGGATCTTTTATTCTATAACCATTTGAATAATTGTAACCAGGTTCCAGTACTTCTAATGCGAGTAGTCTGCCCCCACATTCCTTTGATCTATGCGTTACTACTTCGCCGTTGTGGTCCTTTCCAAATCGGTGATTGGCTGAAGTGGGCCTTGGTCACTGTTGTTCAATTTGTTATTGGGAAGCGTTTCTATGTTGCCGCTGGAAGAGCACTACGAAATGGTTCCACAAACATGGACGTCCTTGTAGCACTAGGAACTACAGCTTCATATTTGTACTCTATATGTGCACTTCTCTATGGTGCAATTACAGGCTTTTGGTCTCCAACTTACTTTGAAACAAGTGCTATGTTAATCACATTTGTCCTTTTGGGGAAGTATTTGGAGATTCTTGCTAAAGGAAAGACATCAGATGCGATTAAAAAGCTTGTAGAACTTGCCCCTGCTACAGCTATATTGCTTATCAAAGACAGAGGTATGCTGTTACTTTTTCAACTGTTTAGCTCACTGATTGTGCCTCATTAGTATGAACTGTATGTATGTATTCAGTTTGTGTCATTTTACAATAAACAACTACTCCCTCCATTCTTTTTTAACTGTTCGGTTCATTTTTCGAGTTAAATGTATGACCATTAATATCTCTTAAAGTATATTAGTAAACCAAATATTAAAAATAATATATTAAGAGTAATTTTCGATACAAATATTATGGCATAATTTTTATATTTTAATTCATTATATATTTTTATATAGGGTGTTTTTATATTCACTCTCATTTTGACTAAATCCACCCATTTTATGTTAAATGGACAATTTTGCCCTTAAAAGTGGGCTTACATCTAAATGTTCTCTTTTGTCATTTAAAGGACAAAATTGTCTACTTTCCATAAAATGGGTGGATTTAGCGAATGTGGGAGTAGTATATGTGCTCATGTTCCGAAAGATAAGACATATAGTAAAAGTATGCTGTGTCTAAAATATGTTGCTGCTGCCTACAAATTTCCAAATATATGGTTTTATTCTTGTTTTAGGAGGAAAAGTTGTAGGGGAACGAGAATTGGATGCTTTGTTAATTCAACCTGGTGATATATTGAAAGTACTACCTGGTACGAAAGTTCCTGTTGATGGTATCGTTGTATGGGGGTCCAGTTATGTAAATGAGAGTATGGTTACTGGCGAATCTGCTCCTGTTCTAAAGGAGGTCAATTCCTTTGTTATTGGAGGTACAATAAATTTTCATGGTTCACTTCACGTACAGGCCACCAAAGTGGGCTCCAACACTGTTTTGAGTCAGATTATATCTCTTGTTGAGACTGCACAGATGTCTAAAGCACCTATTCAGAAATTTGCTGACTATGTGAGTACATTGTGCTATGTTGCATATGACGTCATGTGTTCATTTTTATTTTTCTTTTGGGAAGTGTGCTTGGAGCCAGTTCTTGCTCGGGTTGTATTCTTAAATCATAAGCTAAAGATATGTCCTAATGTGTTTGGTACTTTTGTCACTTCCAGATAGCAAGTATTTTTGTTCCTGCTGTTGTTACTATGTCAGTGTTAACATTCTTTGGATGGTAAGTTGGATACACACTAATCAGTCTGCTGAGATTTTTACTATGTATTTTATTATGATGATGATTATTATAAACAGAATGATGTTATTCTCATTGGCTGATGAGTTGTGCTATATTTTTCTGAATTTCTCCAGGTACATTGCTGGGCTCGCCAGAGCTTATCCAGAAGAATGGCTACCTGAAAACGGAAATAAATTT